GAACTCATGAACTGTGAGATCATGACCTGAGCTGACGTTAGAGGCTTAACCCACTGAACCACCCAGGAGCCCCTGCCCCTTTGCTGTTAAGACAGAATTTTGAATTCAGTAGATGTGGGGTGGGGTCTGAGAAGTTTTGTCCATGCTGCTGCCACCACAACACACTTTGAGAACCACAGCTTATTTGGTTTGAGATTTTATGTTTAATCTCTACAGCCAACGTGGGGCTCAAACTTACAAACTCCAAGATCGAGAGTTACATGCTCCACTGACTGGGCCAGCCAGGTGCCCTGAGAACCACAGCTTTGACAGCTGTCAAATTCCCCCCAGGGAATAGGGTGGGTGGGGAATTTTAAAGCACTTTTATTTGGCTGCAAGGTTTATTTCCTTCTATTATAATATTGGGCTTCTATAGACTTAAGTTAATACACATACTTGTGGCTGTCAACACATGTTAAAGCTTATAGCACTGGGCCCGGTATTTATAGATGGTCAATAAATATTTACTGGATTTGAATATACAGCCCGTTTGATCAGAGCAGTGTGGAATTTCCAGAGTTTCATGAATTTCTTAATATCAAGGATTGCACCATTTGGTCAACGTTCAGAAAATATGTCCTTGCACCTCCTATGTACCAGGCACTGCGGTAGGCCTGGGAGTACAGAGGCGGTCCCAGATGTGGACACAACATGAACATAATAGTATAATATGATCTGCTACATTCTGAGATGGAGTTAAGAAAGGGAGCCCTGCAGGGAAGGGCTCAGGGCTGGCTGCACCGAGGAGGAAAGCTGCGGAAGCTGGTGACCCGCTGCAGGCCACCGAGATCCATCCAGAACTCTACAGACAAAGAGGCCTAAAGCCTTCCCAACGTGCCCATGTAGGAAGCTGCAGGCTGATCTTGAATCCCCTCCGGCTACTCCTGGCTTACTGGGCCCTTGCTCACCTGCCGTAGGGTAAGCATGTGGTTTGTCACTTCTGCTCTCCGGTGCTCTCCTTCGGGTCCCAGCAGCCATCAGTCCAGCTGGGGTCAGAAAGAGGATTAGCCAAGGAAACACCAGGCAGCAAATCTTAGCCCAGGAGACAGGCAGTTGGGCTGCTCAGGACTTTTCCTGGCTTCCAGTCTATATTCTCTCTTCTTTCCTGCTTGTCTCTCTTCATTTGGGGGGCCCTCCCTCGCTACTCCAACCCTTCTCTGTACCAGACAAGTTCTTTTTATTTTTTACACTTGGTTGAAACTGTTCGAATCTCTTAATGGCTTTTGTTTCCAAGGGCAGGAGCCAGGCCTCTAATACCTGCAGGTGGTCAGTGGGGGTTGCTGGTGCTGGGGGTGTGGGACTCCCTGAGTTGAGAATGCAGGTCCAGCCCAGAGGGCTTAAGACTGTGGTCTGTAAATAGGAGTCACACAGCTCAGCCCTCTGACTTGCGGCAAGTTACTTACTTTTCTCTAGGTTGCAGTTTCCAGTCTGTAAAATGGGTATTATGATAACAGGGCCTTCCGTATAGGATTGTTGTGTGGCCAAGATATGTTTCAGAAGCACTTAGTAAAATAAATAAATAAATAAATACAAAGCACTTAGTGCTATGCCTGGCCTATAATAAGCCTTCAGTAGAAATCAATATCAATATTACTAAGATAATGAGGAGCACCTGAGTGGCTCAGTCAGTTGAGCATCCGACTTCGGCTCAGGTCATAATCTCACAGCTCATAAGTTTGAGCCCCACACTGGGCTCTGTGCTGACAGCTCAGAGCCTGGAGCCTGCTTCAGATTCCATGTCTTCCTCTTTATCTGCTCCTCCCCTGCTCCAACTCCCTCTCTCCCTCTCTCTCAAAACTAAATAAACATTAAAAAAAAAAAAAAAGAGGATGATTGCTATTACTAGTAATTATTGCTAAGCAGCATCCTGCTCATGGTGGATTGTGAGTTCTCAGTAGTGGAGGGAAAGGTGATGCAAACAGTTTAAGCTTGTTTATCACTTGACTGGCACCCTCCCTCAGCTCACACACTGCCCCAGGCAGACTCTCCCCTCTGGGAGGCTGCCCTGAGGATCTGTGGGAAGGACTCCTCAGATAGGTCATCTCCATCCTTCTGTGGAGGTGAGGGGTGCTTAGGGCTTGCCCGTCTATTTCCTCCTGATCGTGGGTAATGGGCTCCCTGGAGACACCATGAGGGAGGGGAGGCCTGTTGGTGGTCATACTCAGGCTGAGGTTACCCTTGAGAAAACCAGGTGCAGTATTTCTTGAGGCCTCCTCTTTACTGGAGTCTATTTCACCGAGTCCTCTGAGACTGGTAGCCTATTTTGCAGGTGGAGGACTCAAATATCAGATGAGTTTTGATCCAAAACTTGTGCTCATTACCTCTACACTACTATGTCCTACACTCAGGGCCAGATTCATGGGCATGGGACGTGGGCACCCCATGCTTAAAAGGGCCCCCAGCTCAGTTGAATGTTCTCCTGTCACCGTCTCGAAATTCGCAATGGTTTTGAACAAGGAGCCCCAGTTTTCATTTTGTACAGGGCGCTGCAAATTACGTAGCTGGTCCTGCCCACCTTCTTTTGTAGAAAGGATGTCTTCCTTGCAAAGAAAAGGAAATTGAAGTATATAGAAAACAGGAGTGGCACAAAGTCATGTACCAAGTTGGTAGCAGAACCAGAACCAGGTCTCCTGACTCTCTGTCCAGTGGAATTCTCTGGAAGCACTCATATGTCCAACCGTGCCCTGGATGGGGGCAGTTTCAGAAGAAGACACTGGCTGGGGGGTGGTGGGGGGAGGGCTCCCATTCACCATATCACCTCTCCCACCTGGCCCTTCTGGGAATGAAATGTCCACCTGCTGCCTCCTGACCTGCCTACCTTGGACCCTAGGGGCCAGGCTTTTCTGAAGGGCTGGGCAAGGCCATGAGCAGGGCAGTGACTCATTTCTGTCTAGAGTGGTTAAAGGACATGGATAGGGGTAGCAGCAGAGGTGGCCATAGAATGTGATACTCAGGAACCAAATTCTCTGGGTGTTGACCTGATGACCTCTTGACCTGAGATGACCCATTGAGACTGACATCCTGTTAGTTAAGCTGGATTCTACTGGCCACAGTTGGACATCTGTGGCCTATGCTCTGTATAGAATCCTGCTAGAGGCATGCATTTCTGTGTGATTTGGTGTGTGTTTGTGTGTGTGTGTTGTGGGGATGATGGGAAACAGACTGAGAAAACATCCAGTTCTGTCTGCTTTCATTCACTTTGTAATTTCACAGATATTGCAGATTTGGGGAATAGAGCCCCAGAAATACAAATGTCCTTAGGATGCTTATAGTCTAGTGAGCAAGACCGATAATAAAATAAATAATCCCAGATAAATACACAATTTGTTTCCTAGTGCTGTGTTCTTTTTCTCCACGGAGCAATTAATAGTTTGAAACAATGGGATTATTGGTATGCTCTTTGGTGAGAAGGATATGAACCCTATACTCATCTCAGCTGGATGCCAGAGCAAACCTTCACATTTTGGAGGCTTTTGAATTGTGGCTGGGAATGACATTGACTTTGCTGCTTCAAATAACTCACTTGTGGATGCCTGAAATTCCACTGAGGGTCCTTCTCTAGGATTAAACATTATTCTTTTTCTGAGACTCTATTTAAAATTCAAATCCCTGGGGCGCCTGGGTGGCGCAGTCGGTTAAGCGTCCGACTTCAGCCAGGTCACGATCTCACGGTCCGTGAGTTCGAGCCCCGCGTCAGGCTCTGGGCTGATGGCTCGGAGCCTGGAGCCTGTTTCCGATTCTGTGTCTCCCTCTCTCTCTGCCCCTCCCCCGTTCATGCTCTGTCTCTCTCTGTCCCAAAAATAAATAAAAACAAAAAAAAAACAAACAAACAAAAAAAAAATTCAAATCCCTGCGAGTGTGTGGGGGTGGCTCAGTCCATTAAGCATCTGACTTCTGCTCAGGTCATGATCTCACAGTTCATGGGTTCAAGCCTGCCTTGGGCTGTGCTGACAGCTCAGAGCCTGGACCCTACTTCGGATTCTGTGTCTTTCTCTCTGCCCTCCCCCACTTACTCTCTGTCTCTCAAAAATAAACCTTGAAAAAAAATTTAACTTCAAATCCCTGGAAATGGGGAGGGGTGGTGGGTGGGTGAGTTCACTGAGTTCATAACATGGCAGTGCTGTGTCATGAGACAGAGCAGCCCAAGGACCCTGAACACCAAAAGATGCCCCTGATGGTACCACAAGGGGAGCCAGGGTGTCACAAGACAATCTCCATCACCCTCTGCTGCTGGCTCAGTCCAGTTCTGCCTTCTGAAGGGGGAGCCAAAGGGAGATAGAGGGAGAGTAAGGTCCAAACAAAACCCAAACCCAGAATCCCAGGCAAGGTCACTCTGGTAGCTGGAAAAGCCAGAAGCTTCAGGTCTCTCTTACCTGCAGGCCCTTGCTGTATCAAATCTGTCCCTCCCTTATTGGCCCCACGGGGACAGTAATGCTTTGCTCAAGCACAGCTTTATGGTTGTACAAGCCTTGACGAGAACTTTCGAGGTTCTTGAAACACACTCAACTACCACAGCGACCCTTCTGTGTACCTATCGGCACTCCTGCCCAGGGGCCAAATTTGGCACTGTATTTGGGGTCTGCAGGTGGAACGTGTGTTCAACCTGGTCACCCGACAGAGGCCCTGGAGTGAGGCAGGGCAAGTTCTCCCTGGCGGCTGGAGCACTGCCCCAGGCATGGCCGGGCTGCCGGGTCTGGTCCCCTCTTGCAAGAATCTGCATGCTTCCTCCCTTCCTTGCTTCCTTCCTCCCGGTTCCTCCCTCGCCAACCTACCTGGAGGCAGGTAATAAAGCAGGAGGAGGGAGATGAATGGATGAGGAGGGTGGAGAGCCACGTGGTGCCATAAAGCCCAGCTAGAGAAGGCCTGTCCGGGAGTGTCCAGCCTGCAGGAGTCAACGCTCAGAAGGTGAGGACTGTCAGCCCCGCGAGCCGGAGCCGGGGCAGCAAGGCCCGGGGAAGGCCATGCACCGAGGCGGGCCGGGACCAGGCCTCAGAGGCCTGAAGGGGGCCGAGGGCCCCGCCGAGGACTTGGGGGGCTCTTGCCTGGAGGCCGGCAGGGATTTTGGGGTGCTGAAGGAGAATGGCGAGGCCGAGGAGGCGGCGAGCGGCAGGAAACGCGCCCGGCCGGTGCGCTCCAAGGCGCGGCGCATGGCGGCCAACGTGCGGGAGCGCAAGCGCATCCTGGACTACAACGAGGCCTTCAACGCGCTGCGCAGGGCGCTGCGGCACGACCTGGGCGGCAAGAGGCTCTCCAAGATCGCCACGCTGCGCAGGGCCATCCACCGCATCGCGGCGCTCTCCCTAGTCCTGCGCGCCAGCCCCGCGC